ATCCCCCATGCTCTGTTGAAGTCGTCTGCCCACTTGATTTCAAGGCCCGCGACTCGGAACTGAATCAGCTTCAGATTGATCACGTCCACCCACGGCCAGTTCCTGGAAATGTATAAGTAGAGGCAGAATTTCTACAGTCGGAGAATTCAGGAGAGGCTTCGGTACGATAAAGAAAACTTAGGTGACTATGAATGTATTGTGGCGTAAAAAAATCAACTGGCTTAACTATTTTGCAAATAAATGAGTTGGAGCTCAGAAGTCAGTGTAAGAATTTTTAAGATAATTTTTGCAGATTTTTGTAAGGATTATTGCACTCGGCGAAGAGGGATGGATTTTTGTTGTTTGTCGAAAAACCACTAAAAACTTGGATTCGGGGAAAATATCAAGTTGGCGAGTGGTTTTATCCCCTTTACCCTCACATGTTCAACAACTTCAAAATATCCATTCATTGCTGGTGAGTACTAATTCTATCATTATACCTTCTTGAATACCGCTTACAAAGTTTATTATTTTTGTCACAATTAAATCAAATTTTTAAAAAACATGAATTGGACCAACAATAGTCCGCAATGCAATTGAAAACTTGTGTTTCCAGGAGAGCAGGTATTTTCTCTCCTATTATACACGACTTTTTAATATTCAAAAAATCAGAAAAATCAACGAAATCTTTTTCGTTCTCTCCAGTGATGTCTTTTTCATTTACTCAGATTAAAACTAGTTATGCTCCAGAATGTCACAGGCTTTCTCGTATTAATGTTATCTAATTTTCATAGCTAGCTTTATGTTCTTGTTAGTTGCCTTCTTAAGGACCATCTTAAGGGCTTTGTTAGTTGCAATTTATTGCCGCCCTTAATATTGTTTTTCAAGTTTTCACGATATTTAGGTTTCCTAATAGTAGATTCGAAATATTACTTTAAGGATATTGAAGAAAAGTAATTCTTCGTTCTATTTAGAAATTTTCATTGATTATGATAAAGCCGTTTTTAAGAAAATGGCGTGTAAGCTTTACTAATAGACCGTACTAAATATACCATACTAATAAATATTCTTCCTAATATTAGAGGAAAACAAGCGAATTGTAATATTCCAAGAAAAATTGCAGTATTCAAAACATTTAGAAAATGATATAGGAGTTAATGTGAAATACCCTTCAAAATAAAATATCTAAATGACATATTCAAAACATATTTCAATGACCTAAGACCTTCATGACCTATCAAAAAGAGCTTCAAATTTCGCATTTACAGTAACAATTAAAATACAGTTTCTACACAACTGCAATTTTTTAAACGAAAATTTCTGTATATGACAATGTTTTATTCCTTCTGTAATACTCAAAGTAATACATGCGTTCAACCATTAAGACTCCGGAAAATTTACGATATTAAAAAAATACACTTTGCGGGGCGATGGCTTCTTGTAATAAGATGGGGCAAGACTAAAAAGCTACGCCTGAAAAAATATAACTAACTAGTACGAGGAAGTCAGTACGAGTGCTATTCTGTAGCACCTGTAGTTTAAATATAAAAAAAAACATTTTAAATGAAAAATCTGGCGGACAAAAAGTTTCAATAATTGTCACTTTACTGGCTTTCAATAATATTCTACTACTTTTCGATTGATTCTTCTGCTGATCGATCGAAGTTGATCACGATTTATTCTGTTCTATGCGCTTACTCGAGGAATGTTACCATTCGAAGTATTCATGGCACATCGTCCTCAACCATACAAGTAATTGCTGTCAAATGACTACCACAGGAAAAAGTTTATTTTCTGTGCCACAATAAATGCAATTGCGATGTTCAACAATATGAAATGTAGTATATATTTCAACAGGATTAGAGATAGTTTGTCTCTATTAACTAGTTTAAGCAATATTGTTTAAATTGATGTAATTTCAATATGTTTTAGAAAAATTGAAACTATTTTAAGCGTAATTTTTAGGACATACAAAATATTAAAAAATGGAAATATTTTGTGACGAAACCACCGAACAGGGTGTTCGCACAAATCTGCATGCACCACGTCAAGGAGAACTATTGACTGCGACTCAGAGGAAACTTGGGACGTAACTTCCCCATCTCACGGTGACAAATTACTTTGGGATTTCCCTTAGCTGACAAGATAAAGGGACAAGAGATTCACGCAAGCTGATACCAGACTCACGACGCACAAGTAGAGAAAAGGCCGGGATTCACCTTCAATGTGACCAAACGGACGAATCACGGAGACTTAACTCGACATGCCCCAATCAGAAGGACTACACTGAACACGTGACGAGCCGGGGGAGACGAGAGTAAACATGAGTCCCGAGACAGACGGACAGAAAGATAAAGGAAGCGAGTAGAGGCGGACGTGTTGGACAGAAATATACGAGGGGCAAGTGGAAGTGGACGTGTTGAGACAAGCAGAAGTGAGCGAATGGAGTCAGAGGTGCCCGATGGATGCCTGGAGTCGAGAATGTTCGAATAAAAGAAACATACGGGAGTGGAAGCGAGGACTGACGGAGAAAGCCCAAAAACTTAAGTGAGAGATCGAGCGTATGCAACTCCAAACGCGCCGGGAATCGAACTGTGGCCGCGGAAGCGAAATTCCTCATTCCAGTTGTTCAGACTGAACGAAGGGCGTGGGCGGTGGGGGCGGCCGAGTACAACGGCGCGGGGTCTGCGCTATCGGCCGGCCTTCAGCTGACGACTCTCCTTGGGGCCATCCCTGCTGGGAAAGGGCGCGGACTTCAGCAACGCCATCCGATCGACGCGCAACTCGACGGAAGCAATTCAACTACACTGTAACTTTGCGGCGTCCGGGTTCCAAGCGGACTTCTTTTATGTGCTAATAAATGTGCTCGAAAACCACGCTACTCGTATATTTATTCCAAAGGGTCTTTAGAAAGAAATTATCCGAGTTATTTTTAATCACGTGTTTACAAATTATGTACAACTTACATTACTTACCATTTCGCAATCATATATTCCCATACGGGTGATGCTGCGTCGAAAAATTTCATTGACGCAGTCTTTCCACGATTTATTGATATCAACAGAGGCAATTGTCTATCAGTTGAATGTGCAACGTAACGATTTTCAGCCAGATACAATTGCTGGTCCCTCGAATTGTTATAATATTTGACATTCAGGTTTACAAAATATTTGACTGTCCCTTCTGAACAAATACTATCATTTTTCTGTGAGCAAAATAGTTTCATCTTGTCTATTGTAGGCTGAGAGTCTTTAGGAGCTAATACTGTCATTCCGGAGGCAATGAGTTGGTCAATTGTTTTGATGTCCGGGTAGCGTTGGGGTATCATAATCAGGTCGTAGAGACGGCCCTAGAAAAGAATCACTGGTTTAAAAGATAATTCATTGTACAAATAGAAACATATATATTTTATCGTGTTGCAACAGTTTCACATATAATGTGTCAGAGTTCGAATAATGTGATCCTTTTCCTAATATTTCATGTTAGAAATATCGTTTGTATTTCTCCCAGAATCATTGCCAATGCCTCTTCACTGACTCTGACCAGGAGTCCTAGGGTTCGAATCCTGCGGCGGATATTCGACTCTCCCTACATAGCTAGGTCGATTTCAGTCGCTGGCTGCGTAAAAATAGTGGGATCTGGCTGCTCTGATCGGTAGATTATAAGAGTTATAAATCATGCACGCCTTCGCTTTCGTGAGTTATAACGGTGAACACAACACAAGTCAAGTTCGTAATCAGGAACTGTGGTTTTTTATGTAACAAGACCTATTCATATAAAATGAATCACAGAATAAAATGTCTGCAGTTCTTTCTGACTAGAGCAAATATTATAATTTTCCTCACTGAATATGTATTTTTTTATAAATATAATTAAAAATATAAAACGTTCACTGTTGGAAAAGTGAGCTCTTCGTAAGTAATTGTTTTAAAACTACAACTTGATTTAACGTAGAATCTAACTTTCGACAGCCATCATCTGAATTGTGTAATATGTTATTGTAGACCTGGTATAGTCAAAGAAAAAAATTCAAAACATGCACATATAATGAAATACTCTGTTTAATCTTATCGAGAAATATAATCTTTCTATTTTTTATTTAATTAAGTTTTCACAGAATTCAGCATCTTCTCTTTTCTGGCTGCGCACGTCTTGCAGTGAGTGCACACAAAGGACTAATTCTCCAAAACTGTAATTGAAAGTGCAACTATTGGTGCGACAGAATGGCACAGACTTTCCCGTTTTAGTTTTTTATTTCCTTTGGGCTTGTATATATGTTCGGATTTGCCACAAACTCTGGCTGATTACATTTTACATTTCTATGATAATATAAATGTAAACTGTATTATATGTAAAATGTAAAATGTAAGATATAATAATTACATTTTTCATTTTTTTCTAAATATTGCAAATTTCTAATAGTGGAATAGAAATGTTATTTTGAGAATATTAAAGAAAAGTACAACCCTATTCTTAAGAGGTATTTTCTTTGAAACATTTGGTGCCTTTTTAAGAAAATGGCGTTTAAGCGCTAATGTGGATTCAAAATTTGAAAATCTTTTTCACAGAATTATTTTCAAAAACTTCATTAGAAGCTGTAACGGATTCTGTCTGCTGTACACAATAAATACAATTTTCCATAAGCTGCAACGGATGAGAACATGCGAATAAATATATTATCTGTATGATATTCTTGCTTTTCCATGTGGGCATGAACAAACGGTTTATGCGTTATGACACACAAATCATACTCAGTTTTTGGAAGAGAAAAAATTATTAGATTATACAATTCATACAAAATTTAAAAAAATTAAAAATAGAAAGTTAAAACTCAGATATATGAATACCGTAATGCTCTATAACAGTTGCGTTTGGATTGAGTTGTCAGTGCTAACAGACAATTATTTCGGCGTGAAATACCAGCAAAAATCAATGTTAAACGTACGGTGATAGAATCAGTTACGACTTGTATCCGAAATTTGATTGTAATGAGCTATGATAGTCCGACTCGACTGTCTTTGCTAAGAGCACGACATCGCCTGCGTCTCTCCTGGGCTCGAGACAATCTATATTGGATCGCAGATAACTGGAGTACCTTGGCTTCAACTGATGGCTTTGTTGGCTAATACTACTAACTATTACTGACGACAAAATTAACTGACGTATGAATAAATCTAAAATTACACGTTAAGAAGTACATTTCAGTTTAGTAACGCTTAAAGAAAAAACACGTAAAAAATACCTTCACAATAAAGAAAACCCTAGTCCTAAAAAAGAGTCCTAAAAATGTGCTGCCGGATTGCAGCCCCACGAAGGCGCCTAAAATAATCTAAAGATAATTAATTATACTCTAAATACTGGAAAATGAAGACTGCGAACATATTCTCTCTTTTTTATCTTCTTTCTGTTAACAAGCAGAATCCTTATTTAGAACAGAAACAGCATTACCTTTTAAACCTATAAAAATGTACAAGGTCAAAACAAATTTTCACTTAACATTGACTTGATATAAGCAAGAGAGCAAAACAAATGAATATAAAGAAGCTGTGTCCTCACCTGGTAGGCGGCGGCGACGACGACGGCGGAGGCGAGCAGCGCGGCGGCCAGCTGCAGGCGCTGCGGCGTGGCGCGCACCCTGTCCTGCGGGGCGCCCCCGCACGAGGAGAAGGCGCGCAGCGCGGCGGCGGCGCTGGCGGCCAGCGACTCGCCCGCCACCACGCGCCACGCCAGCGCGTACGCCACCGCCGCCCCCAGCAGCGCGAGCCAGATACGTGGGGGGAACACGCGAAGTGGCAGCGACCAAGCCGGTAGCTTTGATGAGGAAGGTACGACCACTAACAGGTTAGAGACTAATTGTGACGACGGTGCAAACTCACAAGAAAGCACCTGGCCATGTTCAGGGAGACCCCAATTTACTGTGAAGTCCACGCGATTAAATACAACATCTCGTATATAATCCAATCCATTTGTGTACGATTTTCCGATTTGTTGTCCCTGAAACATTTCATGTCGAAAGTTGTGAAATTTAAAGGAAGTTAAATGACGCTTTTCCTCAAGAAATTAGTTTATCAAAATAAAATCATTTCCCCATTTTTCTATGTATATGTAGTTTTAACTAGTTAAAGCAGCATTAGAGAATTTATATATAGAATTTTCTGACCATCTAAACGTATGGGGAAATGTTAGCAAAAATGGATGCCAAGTCGGAAAAAGGAAATAATCCGAGGTTAACAAGAATACTTATGAAATAAATTAAATAATCTCCGGGGAGGAGAGCGAGAAGAGTATATGCTTAATATACATAAAATTTGAGTGTTTGTGCATGATTTTATAGTAACTGCTTTTCTAATACAAATATTTTTTGCATGAATTGATTATAGTTTTAAATGTAAAGTTATTTACATGAGAACGTGTTTTGAAATAGAGCAACGTTGGACGTGAGTTATTAAAGTTGTACGAATGCCATTAAAAACATTATAAACGAGTTGCATCCTCTATTATTTTGAATAAGAGCCCGCCACCAAGTGCAACGCAACCATCGTTGAGAATTTATATAAAGTTAGAGCGGTGCAGAATGAAGGCGCGCCAATACGTCTCCCTGTCCACCTCCCTTTCTGCCTATCTGTCTACCTCCCTGTCCACCTCTTTCCTTTGTGTGACAATTACATAAAAATTGTAATGTAATGATCAGATTTCTTACCTCCACACTTGTGCCAATATTTCTGATATCTTTTCTGTAAATACGAAGATGAAGCCTTGTTTCTAGCTCTCTTCTCTTGAGATATTCCGGACCTGCAATTTTTATAATAATTTTCTCAATTACTACACGAGTGAGTATCCTCATTTCATTTTGTCTTAGAACGCAATACAAGGCTCGGCCTCCGAGGTCCCTGGAGCGAGTTGCCACCAGCGCCTTGGCCTCGCGCGTGCATTCCTCACTGCGCCCCCCACACTGGGTGAGCAACCCCCTTTTGCTTCCATCGGGGGCCACGACATCGGCGGCCAGCGCCCACCACCGCCCCTCCCCCTCCCGTTCGCGCAGCAGCAGCCCGCGGAAGCCCTGGTGGCGCTGCCACAGCGCGGCCAGCACGCGCCGCCCCGCACGCAGCTGCGCCCCAGCCGCGCTCCCGGCCTCACGCACTCGCCTCCCGCCGCTCCTCTGTTCCTTGGAGAGCGTCTGCAGATCGTCCTCTCTTAGAGTCTCAAAAAGTATCTGTGGTTTCCGATCAAGACCTAGGTATTCATTGTGGTTTTTTGATGTCCAAATATCCTGTAAATTATGATCAACATAAATATCTTCATGAAAATTATTTTCTGAATGGTTGTTGTAGAAAATGTTGCGTTGTGATCGATAATTTTTCTCACGAAGCATGGAAAATGACTAGGCACCTACCCAGTTGCTTTCGCGGCTTGATTTGTTTGTCAAATGAGTCAGTGTCTGTTTACCCAAGTTCCTATTCTCTTCATGACTTTCGTCCCAGATATTCTGGCTTACGAAGCTTTTTAAGAGATTATTTTGTAATAACTGGGCTTTGTGTAAGACACTTTGATATTCCTTCACAATTTTAGGATTTGCTGTATGTCCATACAGAATTCTTCGCCTCTCTCGATCGTACTTGAAGTCATTATTCTGTGGAAATTGATTGCTTTCTTTGTTTTCTTTCTGACAATTATGAATGTATGGTATTCGTCCAATCGCTAAAACGACTGGCGCTGAAGAATGTAGTTGAAAGTTTCGAAAAATTGTTGCGCCACCTGTTAAATACTAAAAAAGCAAGTTTTCAATATTAGAAACATGGTAAGAAATATTTCGCAGCACTAATTGCCTTCAAAACACTTGTAAAAGACCATCGCATTGGCTGCCCTTACAATTCCCTTTTTACTCTAAGAAAATCCTAATTCGTACAGGTGTGTTAGGATGATTCTCATTGGTGTGAAGTGTTATAGCAATCGGCAGCAATGTCCATATCAATGGCGGGTGGAGACAATATATATTGATTTTGAACAATACTTTAGGTGAACTGGAAGTTTCCAATTGTGGCAACAGCGTGCACTACATTCCCATAATGCCACTTTATCCTCATTTACATTTGTTTGACGAGAGCAACACAGAAACCACTGATCTCTACAAGTAAATTGTTATACGAAAACTACATTAAAATAAACATAACTAGTAACACATATAATTTTATATAAGATGGAATTCGAATGGTTGAGTACTAAGCGATGTATGTCCCCTGCTAAGTCCGTCGGAATAACGTACTCTGCCGTCACTTTGAGTTCGATTTTTAATTGGCGCATGCGTAGAGAAGAAAAGTGCAGCGACTATTGTGCGCTGTCCTGCACACAAACTCCCGAAGATACCGCCATTCGGTTTATCCTAAGTTGTAAAACTGACTTTCTCCGCGTACGGCCAAAGACAGTGAGCCCACCCGCAGGCTCTAATCGGAAGGCTCCAACGAAGCTGATTCCCTGAGATGAAGAGCAAAGCCTCATTCCACGGAAGCAGAGTAGGATCAGCGACATCGACTAAGTCACAGTGCAGAAGTGGTCACCATGCGATTCTTTGCATTGTTGTCAAAATCGTACTGTCAGTGGAGAGGGCAAACACCCATAATCGTATCGTTTTGTAGTATGCTTTAAAAATTAATTCATCACGCGAATAATTTCATCAAAGATAGGAAACTGAAACCAACGCATAAAATATTTGTAGTTTA